ATACTTCCTTTTATCTGTTCTAACCCAACTGCTCAGCAATTTCATTGAGTGCCCATGAGTTCTTGTTTTGTGAGAAAGGGAGAAAAGTACTTCTTTCTCAACCTTCTCCTTCTGAACCAGCTGGCTATTTTCTGCTTTTTTTCCTGTTGCTCTGCATGTTGCAGTGTTGATTTTTTAACATGCTGGGAGCCAGGTTGTGAGTTAATGCTTCAAATGAAGAAAGCTCTGATGAATTCTATATATCTGTCTCCTCCTTGCAGACCGCTCTAATGAGACCACTTCTAAAGTGGCCAAATTCTGTGCTGAGGCTTTGTGCATAAGAAAGCAGATATTCCAAACCTTTTCATAACATTTACGTACAATTAACAACACCACAAAAAGTGCTGTGAATTTCAATCTTTGTAAATGGTGTGGTTAAACTGTTGTTGGTTGATCTTTTGATCATAATAAATGCTGATGATGATGAAAGAAAAAACTGCTTCTGCAATAGCAGGAGAGGGGATTGAACTCATGCTGCATATCTGATACATTATGGCATCCAGGTTGGACAGATCTAACTTTTCTACTGGTGAAAAGGGGAACAGTCCCCTCTGAACAACAAAAAAGTTATGCTGGGGATCGTGGGATCATTGGTGAAAAGCCATGTGTGATGGAAGCTGAAATAAGGAAGGTAATTGGGCAAGACTGAATGAAAATCTGGTTGGAGCCAACCGCCATTCTTGTTCTTCTTCCTGTCCATCTCTCCCCATATGTATCTCGCAGAGTGTTGTGCACAACTGAAAAACATCTCCTGATTGTCCCTGGCCCCAAGGATACCTTTTCTGCCCTGGCTCCAGCCTGTTGGAACAAGCTCCCACTTGAGATCAGGGCCCTGCGGGATTTGTTACAATTCCACAGGGCCTGTGAAATGGAGCTGTTCCACTGAGCTTTCGGATGAGGTGATGGACATCCAAATCCACTTTGGCCTCCCCTGCTAATAATAGCCTTAACTGGCTATTATTAAGGAAACCTTAACTGAGCATCTCTATTGAGACATTCCCACTCTGATTATTGTCCATGTTGTTATTTTAATGTTAATGTGGATATTGTTTCAACTCTTTAATATCTATATAGTCATTGTTACAACTCTTGTGTGATCTGTAACCCGCCCTAAGCCCGCTTGAGGGGAGGGCGGGATAGAAATCAAATAAATAAATAAATAAAATATCCTAAAACTCTTGGTCTCTAAAGTGCTACTCAACTTGAATCTAATGGCTTTACTGCAGACCAACATGGCTACCCCCTGAAACATTCTTCCTTGGGTGTCTTCTCCCTCACTTTCCATTCCACCCAAGCTTATTTGCTGTATTTCTTCAGTGATGCGTACTCTCGGAGCCATGTCTTCGGCTTTTGAGACCTGTGGAACAATCTTCCCCTCCCTGTCCAACAAGCCACATCCTACTATTCCTTCCTGCCTCTCTCAAAATGGAGGTCTTACGAAAGCCCTTTTTGAAGTATGCGTGAAGCTGCAATGTATAAGTCATACTATCGATCTGTTTAGCTTGGGCCAGTAGTCTCTACCCTGGCTTGCAGCAGCTCTAACAAGCACATTTTATTAACTTGACGTGGTGTGTTTTTTTAACATATTGCTATGAAAAACATACCTGAGATCCTTTGGGCTGGACCCAAACAGCTTTTTATGTGTAGTCTTCCCAATTGCAATCCTTATTACAGCCCTCATTGCACAGTTTTTTTTGTCCATGACCCCCGGCATAACCTTTTTGGGTAGCCAAAAGGGTCCCCTCGTCTCTTTTTCACCTCAGAAAAGCTGGTTGGATTGGGGTTGCCAGCACTTGGCTATAAACCAGTACAAGGATTACCAGGCTCCAGGTATTAAACTTAGAACCTTCTAAATGCAATCTTCCACCAAGCCACAGCTCTGGCACCCAGACTGATTGGAAACCAACCCACACTACAGTGCTGAATCCCATCCAGTAAACCAAAAACTCTTTACTTTGCCTCCTCCCACTTCTTGTTGACCTCTACAAAGCTTCCTAGAGCTCTCCAACTCATACCTGCTCTTTATGTATCAATACTTGGAGTGTCCTTTGTATGTGATACATGCATACATTCTAGATGTTCAGGAACACATTTTATTATTCTGCGTTGTGCCTGGCACACTGTGGATACTGCCCACAGTCAGAGTAGCAACATTCTATTTGATCTGTCATTTTCAAGATGGGGCATTTCTAGGGGTTCCAGAACCAAACAAAGGTTAGTGAAAAGGAGGGCCAATATTAAAACCTTACCATAAAAAATAAAAAGAGGTACATGTATTTATTAATAATAACAAATTTTAAAACATATATAGAGGCCCATTTACAACCAATGTATATAAAATATAACAATATCAAGGGCTAACAAAGTTGACCTTACGCGTTTCGGCCAAATTGGCCTTCCTCAGAGGTCATACATATATGGCAAGATGGTTAATAATTATATTCACATAAACACAATCAGACGTATATACAAAGTATAGATTCAATGAGGACCATTAAATAAATTGTTCAAAAGTAAAATCACCAGGCACAGGGTAAATATGCACATAAAACCTTTAAAGTGCAATCACTCGCCCACTGATTATAAAATAAACTTGTGGTCCAAAAATTTCCTTCTTTGATTGTGTTGCCACAGTATTCACAAGTAATGGCCCTCCTTTTCACTAACCTTTGTTTGGTCCTGGAGTTTCTTGTAAGGTTCAGTTTTTTCCCCCTTTTTGTTTCTGCACATTTCTAGGGGTTGCCTGACCCTTAACCCCTGCTGCCTGTTTGTAGGCTGCGGGGGGGTAATGAAGGGGGGAACCATTGTTCAACAGTCATTTCTGGGGTGAATCTAGTCACACCATTTTAGGATGTCACACGGCTCTAGATAAAACCATAGAGTGTCCATTGAATCAGAGTGGTATGATGTCATTTCCAAGTTTGCCCTGGAAATGATGTCACACAGTCAACTCGACAGTACCCATGCCCTTGCCCCATCAGTCTCTTAACAGGTGCCAGCCACCAACTGGCAACTCTAGGTGTTTCTTGCCCCCCAAACAGAGTCTTGTCACTAGCAGGCACTCCCTTACCTTTAGGGTCACATACTTTCCATTTCTTGTCCTTGTCATAGTTTGGGGTTGTGGCACACCACAGTGGTCCACCCTTAGTTCCGTCACGGGTGCATAAACAATACTGTTTTTCCTTGTAAGTGAATGGAAAGAAACACTGCCTGTCATCTGATGCAGAAAAGAAGGGGAAATGGTGTGAAGAGAGTTAAATCCAGAGGGATTGATGCAGTAGGATGAAAGGCGGTTATGTTTAGATGAGTTCTGCTGTCAGGATAGGGTTGCATTCCGTGATGTTGCTGACGCAATACTGTCACCCAGAAGTCACCCATCATGTTGGCAACATTGCACAGCGACTCTCTGGTTTGATGGCAAAACTCTATGGTTTGAGGCCAAATTTACCATAGAGTTTTGCCGTCAAACCAGAGCACTCCACTCAATGCCCCCGACATGATGATGTCACTTCCGGATGACATTGTTTCATTGGGGGTGTTGCGCCTGGACATGGCTGTTTTGGGACCTGGGGACCTGGGGACTGGCAACCCTATGTCAGGAACATCTGGAGTAGGATTGCTAATTCTGGTTTGGGAAATTACTGGAGATCTTGTGATGGTGCCTATGGAGGGAGGAGTTTGGTGATGGGATGTAGCTCAGCTGGGATGTGATTCCAGAAAGTCTGCTCTCCCAAGCTACCTTCTCCTCCAGGGGAACTGATCTCAGTAGTCTGGAGATCAGTTGTAATTCCCGGAGAACTCCAAGCCCCACCTGGAGACTGGCAATCCTAGCATGTGCAAATTATCCAGCCATAATAGAAGTTGATCAAACTATATGCACATTATTTGATATTAAAACATACAATTTATATATGAAATCAAAGAGGCATCCCTAGGGTTCCCAACCTTCATCTGGGGCCTCAGGTTCTCCCAGAATTACAACTGATCTCCAGACTACAGAGAATAGTTCCCTTAGAATGACATGGCAGCTTTGGAGGGCCAATTCTATGGTTTAACGTAGAGTATGTAAAAACAGAAGTCCTAGAGTGACATTACATTCACACTGAGCTCCCTCCATGCCTCAAACTCCAGCCTTCACAGGCACTGCTCCCTAATTTCCAGGAATTTCCCAAGCTACAGATCAGCATAAACATATAATTCCTTTATGTGGCAACATTGTTCAGCAAATCCAGGCACCTCAACAGTTTCTCTTGTCCATCTTTTTCTTCAAGCAAATAAAATATGTCATGACCTAATCTTGGCCCTTTTCTGTGGTGGCCCCTATAATGTTCAGAAGTCTATGGACCACAGTCACGCGATCTGGCCGTGCCTCTAATTACACTGTTTTATGTTGTAACGGGAAATTTTGATTAGGCATCTCACCATGAACTGGTTTCACCACACTCTCACCCCATGGTCGATCATTCAGATTGTTGTGGCATTCTTTTTTTTCTTTTTTTTTTGGTCTTTCACGCATGCACATAAGCATGTACCTGAAGCTCCAGCTTCTTTTTTACAGCTCCACAATCCTTCTGCCAAATACTCTGGCCCCTCTCAGCCTCCTTCTCTTCCCCTCTCTTCCTTGGAATACATGGGGGGAGGTTAAAGTGCAGACTTACATGAGAGTAGTCCCATTGGCTTCAGTACATTTACCCTTGTGTCAATCATGGGATGCTCTCAAACAGCAACTCTGACGCAGAAACAGGAGAGAGGGGTTTGGGGGGCAAATTTGTCACTCAAAAACAAGTCCCTTGGGGACTCCCGATCCAGAATGACTACTTGGCGGTGGTGACTGACAACGCCAGGGGTGATTATGCGCTTATGCACATATCGCTACCTGGTGGGGGGTTTTGTGTTGTTTTTTTTTTAAAAGGAGGCAACAACAGAAGGTAAGGTTCAGACTTCCCAAATGGCTTGACTTCTCAATAGGGGAGTTCAGCCAGCCAGAAATGCAGGGTGAAAGTGCTGACATCCATAAAGACCAGTCTTTCCCCAGTGTCCATTAACTCTGCTTCGGAGATGGGCCAGAACAGGGTGCTGACAACTGCGGCACAGAAGGCAGATGTCTCTGTCTGATCATGCTTTTTAAATCTGCAAGGGTACCACAAAGGTATCAGATCAAACTGCTCGTGTGACTGCAACCTATACGTTTACCTAAAATGGCCCTCAACAAATCTCAGAGGCAGACTCTCAGTATATTCCTCATTGGCAGCATCTTACCACTTCTGTCTTATAGCGGTTCCAAGGAATGGTCCCACCCTCCTGGCTTTTAGGAGGCTCAGTAAATACCAAACTGTTCAGGGGAGGGCATTTGAGGGTGAAAGGACATGCTGTTTGTGGTTGCTCATCTGTTTCTGGTTTGAATCTTCCCATAAGATTAGACTTTATTGCAATATTTGGGTTTTCACCATTTTGGGTAGGGTTAGCTCTGGGTTGGGAAATACCTGGAGATTTGGGGGGGGCAGAGTCTGGGTACAGTGGGTATGGGGACTGAAGGGACTTCAATGGGGTATAATGCCATAGAGTCCACCTTCCAAAGTGGTCATTTTCTCCAGGTGAGAAGCAAAATACTGCGGAGATCAGGGTAATCAAGCATTCCATTTGGGGGAGAAAGAGGAATATCTACTTCATTTATCACTAAGCAGTCCTTCTTGTGCCTATCTACTCATATATGATACAAACAAAGAAGCTTCAAGGGGGAATTGCAACGCACGCTTGCCGGACTTCAGTTTATTCACAAGTTCAGAACAATGACACCCCCCCAGCTGAATAGGGATATAGGACTCTTATCTCAATACCAATGCTAATTTTCTGCCCCCAAGCATTTCCCCTCTGCTCTCATCAAGCTGATTACAATATGCATTGCACCTTTGCATCTTTTACAGGTATCCCTTGAACACCCCTCCCACCTTCTGACTGGAATATAAAGACTTAACCCACCCCAAGCCTCTATGGCCTTGTACATCTCTAATCTAACAATTCCTCTTTATCGGCGGGTTTTTATGCTAGCGAGATTTAATCTCTTTCCTTCGGCTGTTGTATCAGGCAGATATAGGGGTATCCCCTATAGGGATAGAACCTGCAATTGCCTCTATAGTGAACCGGATTCAGTTGCTCACATCCTGCTACGTTGTCCCCATTATTCTACCATGTGCAGCTATTTGATTAGTCCCCACTTACCTCCCACAAGGAATTCTACTGATAATGATCTTAAAATTCTGTTGTCCGATAAGTACCCGGCAACTACCCTGTCTGTTGCTGAATTCTTAGCCTATGTTTGGAAGTTAAGGGTAAGGGTGTACAAGTCTTAATTTTCTTTGTGTTATTGGGATTGCTATATTACTAACTGAGTTTATTATTTCTGTGAAGTTTAAAAAATGGCCTGTTGCTGGTGTAACTTGTTTTGATCTATCAATTTGTCCCATTATCTTCCTTATTGCTGCTGTGTTATGCCAATAAAGGTCTATGTTATAAGATAAGATAAAGACTTAGCTCCATTCCTACTTGCGTTTGACAAAGGGAGCCTTGACTCTCAAAAGCTTATACCATGAAAAACTTCTTGGCCTCTAAGGCGCTACTGGAAGCATATCTAACTGTCCTGCTGCAGACCAACACAGGTAACCCTCTGAAACCAGTCCCTGAGACACTAACAAAGGTCTCTTCTGCTCTTCCTACCTGAATTTTCACAAGGGACCTTCTTGAGATCTGCATCATAGTGGTCGGTGAGAGAGCAAAAGGGTTTCCCATTAGGTGAGCCATCTGTGACACACGTTGAGTGAGACTGGCCTTCGAAGACAAATGGAAAGATGCAGGGGCCGATAGGTTCATCACTTAGTCCTGGAAGGGATGGAGAAAAGTGAGAGGGGACTTCTAGCACTTCCCCAATCGCACACTTGCACCTCATCAGAGGACATCCTATATCTGGTTTGGCCAGGATCAAAGCGAAACCCCGCACACCACAGGCTCCACCCCCAGATCCCCAGGAATGTTCCAGACCGGAGCTGGCAATCCTAGAGGAGGCTGAGGTCAGGAACTGATCTGTCATGCCTAGATCAAAATTCACTGAAGTGACTGCTTCTCTGAGCACCTTTTATGATACTATGTGCCAGCTGTTCACTGTGGCTCAATTTGTCCTCATCGCGAAGGGAAGATAATGTCTTAATGACTACAGATACCTCCTTCATGGGTCTTGAGCAGTGTTCCCTCTAAGCTGAGTTAGTGCGAGCTAGCTCACCGTTTTTTAGCCTCCAGCTCACACATTTTTGTCTTCGCTCAGGAAGGATGGCTCCAGGTTAAAGTCATTTATGCAGCAGCCAAATCACTCGCTCACAACTTTAATGGCAGTCGCTCACAAAGTAGGATTTTTGCTCACAAGACTCCACAGCTTAGAGGGAGCATTGGTCTTGAGTGTCAGAAACAGAGGCGAGCTCCCCATATAGCTGGAGAGAGGTAGGTAGGGAGTGAATGGAAATCTGTGGAAAGGAAGTGCAATTTTAGACCCTGAAAGGGAGAGAAAGAAAAACAGACAGACACTGCTAAGAGTTGGTTGAAGCATCTTGGGGGTGCAGGATCTCTCTCCCCTTTGGGGGGTAGCAGAGATGTTGCCCCAAAGGAGTACCTCTTTGCATCCCCTGGTATACATGTGTACCTGAAGCAAATACGCTTTATTATAAATATATATACATATGCATACAAAATATACAGAAATGCCATAAGTGACAGGGACTCTGAAAAGGGAACCAATCTGGGTAAACCCTATTCCAGGGTAAATAAACCCTGGAAGTCCCCAATCAGAGAAAAGAAACATAATATTTTATTCCTATCTGTATTTTGAATTGTTTTATGTTGCTTTGTTTGTCAGTTTTTGGCTGAAAAACAGGACTAAAAATGCCACAAATGTATCCTATTTTTACCTTGCGATTCTTCCAAAGAAATTCAGGGCAGCAGACCCTTCCTAGACCTTTTATCCTTGCAACGACTTGCAACGAGGTTGGTCAGGGCAAGAGAGACTGAATGGCCAATAGTCGGCCAGCAAGCTTCAGGGCAGAGTGGGGGTCTTGGGTCTTCTGAGGCCTCATCCAAGACACAAGCTACTGCTCTACATTCGCTCTCTGAAGGGATTTTTCTGGCTAATGTTTTTAAAATGTCCTCATTGTGCTCAATCCAGAACCAAATCTCTTGCAACCAGTGTTCCCTCTAAGCTGAGTCAGTGTGAGCTAGCTCACTGTTTTTTAGCCTCTGGCTTACACATTTTTGTCTTAGCCCAGGAAGGATGGCTCCAGAATAATTTATACAGTAGCCAAATCACTCACTCACAACTTTAATGGCAGTAGCTCACAAAAGCAGAATTTTTGCTCACAATACTCCACAGTTTAGAGGGAGCATTGCTTGCAACCGTTCTGGATACAGGCTCAGTATACTTACTTGTATCAGCACAGTAGCTCCATTTCTTGTCCTTATCATAGCTGCCCGTCGTGGCGCACCAGGTCTTGTTAGATTTTTCAGGGACACAGGTGAAGTATGTCTTTTTCCGGTAGAAAAATGGGAAGACACAGGGTTGGCCTAAAGAATTGCCTCCATATTCTAGATGAAGAACAAGAGCAGAGCCTATATATATTGTAATGTATATTCATAATTTGGTTCTCTCCTTTTCCTACATTCCTTTTGGGACAAAAGAACATACTGCACATAGCCCTGGCTTCTGTATAGCAGATGTAGAAGATTTTGTATCAGGTTCTTTTTCTCTAAATCCTTGAACTGGAATCATCCCAGGTACTAAGAATGAATATCACTGAAGCAGCTTCACCTTAGCATTTTAAAGAAGGAAGACTGAGGAATTGTTCTTGGGTTCTTTTCCTGGATCTGTGATACAATCAGTAGTGTTCATAACTTCCATCTGGGGCCTGGAGATCAGTCCCCCTTGAAGGAAAATAGCTGCTTTGGAGGGTGGGCTTTATGGCATTGTACCCTGCTGAGGTCCCTCCCCTCACCCAAGCCCTCCCTCTCCAGGCTTCTCCCCCAAATCTCCAGGAATTTCCCACCCCGGTTTATTTATTTATTTATTATATTAGGTTTGTAGACCATAAGAACATAAGAGAAGCCAATGTTGGATCAGGCTAATGGCCCATCTAGTCCAACACTCTGTCACACAGTGGCCAAAAATACCAGGTGCCACCAGGAGGTCCACCAGCATGGCCAGGAAACTAGAAGCCCTCCCACTGTTGCCCCCCCAAGGACCAAGAATATAGAGCATCACTTGTCCCAGACTGAGAGTTCCTATCTATACTTTGTGGCTAATAGCCACTGATGGACCTCTGCTCCATATGTTTATCCAATTCCCTCTTGAAGCTGTCCATGCTTGTAGCCACCACCACCTCCTGTGGCCGTGAATTCCAAGTGTTAATCACTCTTTGGGTGAAGAAGTACTTCCTTTTATCTGTTCTAACCCAACTGCTCAGCAATTTCATTGAGTGCCCATGAGTCAAGTTCTTGTATTGTGAGAAAGGGAGAAAAGTCCTTCTTTCTCTACCTGCTCTATCCCATGCATAATCTTGTAAACCTCGATCATGTCACCCCTCAGTTGTTGTTTCTCCAAGCTAAAGAGCCCCAAGCACTTTAACCTTTCTTCATAGGAAAAGTGTTCCAACCCTTTTATCATTCTGGTTGCCCTTTTCTGCACTTTTTCCAATGCTATGATATCCTTTCTGAGCTGTAATGACCAGATTTGCACACAGTATTCCAAATGAGGTTGCACTATCAATTTATACAGGGGCATTATGACTCTGGCTGGTTTGTTTTCAGTTCCCTTCCTAATAATCCCCAGCATAGTACTGGCCTTTTTTATTGCAGTTGCACACTGTCTTGACATTTTCAGTGAGTTATCTACTATGACTGAAGAGCTCTCTCTTGGTCAGTGTCTGCCAGTTCTGACCCCATCAATGTGTATTTATAGTTAGGATTTTTGGTCCCAATGTGCATCACTTTGCACTTGGCCACATTGAACCCCATTTGCCACACTGATGCCCACTCACCCATCCTCAACAGATTTCTTTGGAGTGCCTCACAATCCTCCCTGGTTTTCACCACCCTGAACGATTTTGTGTCATCCACAAATTTAGCCACTTCACTGTTTACTCCCAACTCCAAAACATTAATGAACAAGTTAAAAAGCATTGATTCCAGTACTGAGCCCTGCGGTACCCCACCGATTACCATCCTCCACTGTGAAAATCACCCACTTATACTCACTCTCTGTTTTCAATTAATTAGCCAGTTTTTGATCCACAAGAGGACTTGCCCTTTTATCCCATGACTATTGAGCTTATTTGGGAGCCTTTGATGAGGAACTTTATCAAAAGCTGTCTGGAAGTCAGGGTAAACAACCACCCTCCCCACAAGCAGGCTTAAGGTGGTTCATAACAGATTCATATAAGACACATAAAATCTATCCCAAAATCCAAAAAGCCATGTCATATAATTCTGCCCCCCCCCCAGATTACATTAGTGATGGGGGAAGAGGGGTGAAAGGAGATTGTATTCAGATAGTTATTGAACTGTTTAACACCGTTGCTGTTAAAAACAATTACTGTCCTCAACCATAAGCTTGGTGGAACATCTCTGCCTTGCAGGCCATGCGGAATTGTAATAGATCCCACAGGGCCCTGATGTTAGCACGCAGAGAATTCCACCATGTTGAAGGACAGCCGGATGCTCTTTGGGCAATTCTAGCAACAAGGCTTTTAAATCCAAAGGACACACTTATCATGAGCAGTTTATTCATTTATAAAAAATTAATACCTCACCTTACTTTTGACTCAAGACCAAAGCCTTCTACAATATAAGTGGCTCTTCCATCGGAGGAAGGCTACTCGGAAGATGCTTGGATCCACCCCATTATTGAGAGACATCACACCGGTTTTCCTCCTGGGAGTGAGGGGAATTGCTACACTTGCTTAGAAATGTGCATATCTTGGGCATCAAACCTCCCTTTTTTGTTCATTTGTTGTTGTTTTTTGTTTAAGATACAACATTAAGAGGAGCAATTAAGATATGAGCAAAGAAATAGGAAGAGAGAAGGGATTTTAACCCTCTCGCCCTGAGAAATCTTTTCCCCTGCTGGATTACAAATGCACTTTTGTATTGGAAAGATTGCAAAGGGCAAAACAAAACGAATTGGGATCCTACAGGGGGCAAAGCCGGGATCTGTCTTAAGACTTTAAAACATGCTGGTTCGTCACAGAAACAGCCTATGGCCCTAGCCAAAACCTTGGAGAGTGAGCCACAGGAGAGCTCTCCAAAGCAAGAGTGCGGGGCGGGGAGTGTTTCGTCTCAAGGATAGCTTCATCGAGGAGCATGTACAGGCATAAATAAATCTCAGTATCCAGATTACTTTCAGAGGTTTTTTTTAAAAAAATATATAATGGAAGACATTTATTCAGCTTCTTAAAGAGAAGAAGGGGAAATGGGGATTAGAATGGGTAGTTCTATCTGAGGAACGAAGAAATTCATAGGCAAATCTTACTGGAAGGGAAGCACAAAAGAAAGTTTAAACTTTAAACTGATCTTTTCCCTTAAAGGTTCCTAATTCTCATCTGATTCGCCAGACTTTCCCTCCTGGGGTATTTTTGCTTGGATCAAGGGCATAGCCCCTCACTGCACTTGCTTGGATCAAGGGCACTGCCCCTCCGAAAAAGGAGAAGGATGCTCTTGGCCTTTCCTAAGGTAAAATAAGGTTATTTTATTGGCTTATTTGTCCTGCTACTATGAGTCTTCAGAAAGTGAATCATATTATCATTTTGGCTAATCGTTTAACTCATTGTTTCCACATATTAGGGCTTGTCACGGGAAAGTCCCTCAATTTTTAGCAAAACAAAAACTTCTTGTTCTTTTATATTCTGTGTAAATATACCCAGGAATGAAGGAAAAATGGGCAGCACCCAACAATGTGCCAACAGAACAAAAAAGGGGGGGGAAATGCCAGGTAATAGATGACGAAGAAGAAGAGGAGGAGGAGGAGGAGATTGGATTTATACCCCACCCTTTACTACCCAAAGGAGTCTCAGAGTGGCTTACTATCTCCTTTCCCTTCCCTTCTCCTCCCCACAAGAGACACCCTGTGAAGTAGGTGGGGCTGAGAGAGCTCTTTTGAGAACTGCTCGTGAAAAAACAGCTCTGAAAGAACTTGTAACTGACCCAAGGTCACACCAGCAGCTGCATGTGGGGGAGTGGGGAATCAAACCCAGTTCTCCCAGATTAGAGTCCATGGTCCTAACCACTACACCAAACTGGCTCTCCTAGATGATAGATTTATTATTGTATGAAGTCCCTATGCGTTTCACCATGCAGGATTTGTCTGGGGGAATCAGAACATTTGCCTAGTGCCGGAACTGTCCACAGTAAAAGACCTTAATTCCTGTGGACAGTTCCAGCACTAGGTGAATGCCCTGATTCCCCCTGATGAATTCTGCATGCCATAAGAACTTTGTACAATAATGAATCAATCAGCTACCACCCCAAAAAAATTTTCCTTTTTGTACTTTTGATATAAATACACCCACCATTCCCATGATCCTCTACATTCAGACAGGTATTAATGAAATTTTCAGAATCTTAGAATCATGGAGTTGGAAGGCACCTCCAGGGTCATCTAGTCCAACCCCCTGCACAATGCAGGGAATTCATAAATACCTCACACACAGAGAGAGTGATCCCTGCTCCATGCCCAGAAAATGGCAAAAAACCTCCAGGATCCCTGGCCAAACTGGCCTGGAGAAAAATTGCTTCCCGACCCCAACATGGCGACCAGCATTTCCCTGGGCATGTGAGAAAGGGCCAGTGTTCCCTCTAAGCCGAGTTAGTGTGAGCTAGCTCACAGTATTTTAGCCTCCGGCTCACACATTTTTGTCTTAGCTCAGGGTGGACGGCTCCGGAGTAAATGAATTCATGCAGTATCCAAATTGCTCGCTTACAACTTTAATGCTGGTAGCTCACCAAGTAGACTTTTTGCTCACAAGACTCCACGGCTTAGAGGGAACATTGGAAAGGGTCACAAGAACTAAGCCCTGATGCAGCCCTTCCTGCCCTCCCTCTCATGATCTGATCTTTTCCCAACCTCATGCTCTCTGAATCTGAAAAATTCATCAACCTAGAGTGAAAATTCTCTTCCTGCTCCTTCCCACCAGCTTCAGCCTAACTGAACGGTTTTGTATTTCAGGAGTGGGGAGTGATGTTAAAATGTACTTCACATCTGGGGCCAGTTTTTTTTCGGGGGGGGGGGACTTCTTGTATATCTGATGTTTCCTTCCAGCCCAAGGAACAAAGCAAATGAATGAATAAATTCTGCAAATCAATCCGTTCCCTCATGAAGTGGAGGATAAACTGGGATTTTGTCACCTTGAGTAGCACACCACTTCCATTGGTCAGTATGTTTGTCATAGTTAGGAGTTGTGGCACACCAAAGTTTCTCATCTGCAGTCCCGTATGTGGTACATGAAGAAAAGGAAATTTTTTTGTAAATGAAGGGAAAGACACAGGGTTTGTCATCTGAAAAAGAAACAGAGAGGGAAGAGGACATAACAAAAGTG